TTCCAGATTCTGACTTTTCCTCCTAGATGACTATTTTGTTCCATGTTGTTGGCTTCTTTTCCTCGCTCTTTCTTTACTTCATTTAAGCCCAGTGGTTTCTTAATCCATGATATTGATTGCCATCTTGAACCTAATTTGGACATTTCTTCTCTGGCTTTTCTCCCATCTCCATATAACCATACACCATGGTGGTGATTCTAAGGGACTGCTCAAGGGGAGGGTTCTCGGGCTTTGGAATTTTTAATAAGTTACCTGACCTCTGCGGGCCTGAACCACCTCCCCTGAAACGTAAGAACTGTTATTCCTATATGGCAAGGTAGGTCTGGCAATTAATTGGTGATCATAAAAAAATACATGTCTGAACATCTCATAATAAACTCATCACCTTATACAGTTGAAATGTGCTAATAAAATACGTCTTTAACAAAAGGCATGTACTTACAACAGACCTCACATCTTCATTGTGTTCCCAGCAGCACCGGTGCAGGGTTTCTGAGCCTAAACACCTCAACCTCTTGGATGACAGTCACAACAAATCCAATGGACAAAACTGTACCTGGAAGTTTCAACAGCAGGACCCTGATCCCAAACTTGATGATCGTCATCTCCGGACTGGTTGGGATGACAGGAAACGCCATTGTGTTCTGGCTCCTGGGTTTCCGCTTGCGCAGGAACGCCTTCTCCGTCTACATCCTAAACCTGGCTGTGGCTGACTTCCTCTTCCTCCTCTGTCACATCATAGACTCCATGCTGCTTCTCCTCAAATTTTCCTATCCCGACATTATCTTCCTCCCGTGCTTTAACACCGTCATGATGGTTCCCTACATCGCAGGCCTGAGCATGCTCAGTGCCATCAGCATCGAGCGCTGCTTGTCGGTCCTGTGCCCCATCTGGTATCGCTGCCGCCGCCCAAAACACACATCAAGTGTCATGTGTACTGCGATCTGGGTCCTGTCGATATTGATTAGCATTCTCAACCGGTATTTCTGTGGCTTCTTAGATACTAAATACGAAAATGACAACCGGTGTCTGGCATCGAACTTTTTCACTGCTGCATGTCTGATATTTTTGTTTGTGGTTCTCTGTCTATCCAGCCTAGCCCTGCTGGCTAGGCTGTTCTGTGGCGCTGGTCGGATAAAGCTCACCAGATTGTATGCAACCATCATGCTCACGGTGCTGGTTTTTCTCCTCTGCGGCTTGCCCTTTGGCATCCACTGGTTCCTGTTAATCTGGATTAAGATTGATTATGGTGTAGTTGCTTATGGTCTTTATCTGGCATCACTCGTCCTGACTGCTGTTAACAGCTGTGCCAACCCCATCATTTACTTCTTCGTGGGCTCCTTCAGACACCAGCTGAAGCACCAGACCCTCAAAATGGTTCTCCAGAGGGCTCTACAGGACGCTCCCGAGACGGGTGATAACGGAAGCAGTGTCCCTCAGGACACAGCAGAGATGTCCAGCAGCAGAGTGGAGCAGTGATGAAAAGCCTCTCCCTGGACCTCAGAGGTGGCTTTGGAGTGATCACTGCTCTTCTGTGCTTGACAGCTCTCTGCTCTCCTCTCAGCCTTGTGACCTGACATGCCTCAGTGGGTTCACCAACGTCTTTAGCAGACCGCCATTGACTTAGGTTTTCTACTTTTCCTGGCTAAAAGAATTTATCTGAAAGTATCGTGTCTTCATCCTTCTTGGCATTAATAAAATTCTCATGCTAACTTCCTCTGAAGTCTTCTTGCTATTTCTTTGCAACTTGTGTTGCCAAATGGCCTCTGTCCAAAACCACGATTCTCTTGTTTGTGATTGTTCTGTATGGCAGTAAAGACAAGGAAGCCCCCTAGTTTCCTGTGAACCATCCTCATAAGACAACACCATTTACAAAGGCAGATGCTGTGGCCCCGATATTTCACTACATTGCACACTCTCACAACCCTGTGATCCAGCAAAAGAAGCCCATGTCTCCAGCCAGCTGACCACAAGAGTCAGAACTCTTGAAATAACTGGGAATGTATGTGCTATGGGTTCTAGATTAGGAAGAGCAGCTGGTCTATATTCTCAGGCTGCTTCCATGGCCACCTTAAATGCCATGTCCATCCATGGAAACATATGCAGGCAATGGAGTCAGGAAATGTCACAGATCTGATCTTTTTCCATAAGAAATGTGGGACCTATTTTCTGAACAAGGCTGTGGGATTCAACTTTACTATTATTGTGCCCTGAATATAAGACCATACTGATTAAGAAAGACCCAGAAATGTATCCTCCCTACCATGACTTTAATCAAAATGAGCACATATTCCTTGTACATGACTGATGGCTGCCTGAAATTTGGAGAGGATGCTGTGACATGTTCTTTCTGAATGTGGAGACGGTGCATATCAGGCATCAATATTACCATGACACCATTGGCCATAAAAATAGATGTGATTTTGTTCCTAGTCTCAGTTACTGCTCCCAGCAGTATAGAAGAGGTCCCCTTACACAGATCTATCATATAGATGCAACCGACTCTGAATCCATCCTGAATAAAATACAGACATGTCAAAAGAGGAGACTGTCTCATTTGTAACTGTGCAACTGATGCAGGCAAATTGTAGATGTCCTGGGATGCTTGAACTCTAAACTGATGTGTCTACAATTTTAACCACCACATAAATTTTTTGTGACAGGGTAGGAAAAATAAACAGAGTCTAGACACAATAGGAGAAGGGGGAAATCATTATGGCATTAATAATAATAATAATAATAATAATAATAATAATAACTTTAAGATTCTTCAAGCAATGGTTATCTAGATACACACACACACACACACACACACACACACACACACACACACACACACCGTCTTTACTATCCTGGACTTCTTCCAGATACTTGATTTTAGCTACAACAATGATCATAAACTGGAGTACCGTGGGCTCTGAGCAATATCTGTAATGGCCCTGAACAGACAGGTATTGGCATAGACTTGCAAAAGCAACCAGAGTCAACTCCAAAATAATACCAAATCAGACAGAGCCCTCAGGCCTGCACTAGCCAAAAGGCAGCATCCTTTTGTCCCAACTCTCCTTCCAAGGATATCTCCACCCCTGCTGGTTCATAGGCTATAGATTTAAAGAAAGAGATGAAGATAGAATAAGGGGGATTTAGGAAATATAAGGAACAAGCAGAATGTACCCACTCACCCAGTACAGTAAAGGAAAGAGCTCTGGCCTCAGAGTAAATTTAGAGTTTCGTTCCTGAGTAACCCTTATCTCTAAATGTCATGGCTTCAATATGGACGATGGCTTAGGAGTTGATAATGACCTTGAGAAGTCACCTGAAGATCTTTGGATATAAAGGATGGTGACTTTTTTCTTTGGCAGTGTGGTGAAGTGAGAACTCTGCCACTGAGCTGCATCCCCAGCCTTAACTACCTGGATATCCAGGCTGGACTCTGTGCAACCCCCTGCTACACATGTGATAGAACACAGAAGATGGGCTTCAGAAGCTCTGAAGAGAACAGTGGGAGAAAGGGATATGGTTTGGCAACGCTTATATATTTTCATTTATTCCTGTCTAAAAGCTATTGGAAGAAAAGATAAAATTTAAATGTTGCTAATTACCAAAAGTGCTTGTGACTTTTCTTCATGCCTAGGTGTCTGGGTTATAAACATCTCTCCAGAGCACCAATGTCCTCATTAGTGGTGACTGATATTCATGTAGATAGTCCAGCTACAAACTGCCCTGCCAGTTGTTCTATTGCATTGTATTCTGGTTTACTTGTAGGTGTGTGTGGTGTGTGGTGTGTGGTGTGCGTGCGTGCGTGCGTGCGTGCGTGCGTGTGTTTATGTGTGTGTGTGTGTGTTTATGTGCAGTGCTTTTCACCTTTTGTTTTACACACACACACACACACACACACACACACACTAGCCTGGGATGTCACCACACAGGCCAGCATAGTTAGTAACCTACAAGCTTCCAGGGATCTTATCCCTCATCCTGTCTCCCATCTTGCAGCGCTGATTACAGGTGTGCACCACCACACCACACCTTTCACATAGTGAATTAGTTACTTATCTTGTTATTGCCACAAAATATCTGATCAAAACAACTTGAGGAAGGAAGATTCTGTGTTGGTTTATAGTTCAAGGTGAGGGCTGTTGTGACAAGGCAGTCACAGCAGCAAGAGCCAGAGGCTGATGCTTCTTACCTCACACCCTTTGCCAGGAAGCAGAGCACAACGCATGCTCCATGCTCATCTGGCTTTCTACTTTTTATTCAGTCCTGGATCCCAACCCATGGCAAGACGACACCTACAGTTAGGGTGGGATTTCCCAATTCGCTTGACATAACCTAGATAATTCTTCATAGAACTTCCCAGAGACTGTTGTGCCAGGTTCGAGGAGCCCAGAGACTAACCCAAGGAGTCGACACTCTGATGCAAAAGCAAAGGTTTCTTTTTATTTCAAGCTGGCCAGCTAGTATCTTACTGCATAGCAGGCAAATGAGATGCCAACCAGCCAAAAAGAAAAACTTTTAAAGGGGCAGACCAGAGGTTGAAGGCCACAAATTTCAGAGTTTCTGTGGTTACTTAAGGCCATACAAAGTACAGAGTAAAGCAGTAGCAATAAATTTTAAGTGAGATACATTTGAGTGAGATAAGACAGGGCATGGGCTTGCAGGGTTATAGGGTCACAGGGTCTGTCAGTTATTCCCTGGGCTAGGGGATCTTTATAACCAGCAATTAGCAAAGGAATGTTAACAGTTGTGGACAGTTATCTCCCCTTCTCTGAGAGCAGGGGATCAGGTGCCAGCTATGGCACTCCTGATTTAAGGAGTTAAATTTTCCTCTACCATTAGGGCCTAAGTTTTTACATTTTTATTAATTTTAATTTTTGGTTCCTCTCTAACCTAACTAATCCGGATAACCCCTTGTCTTCTAGGTAATTCTAGATCCTATCAGATAGACAATAAATATTGACTACCACACATGGATGGGGATCTGAACTTGGTTCTTCAGGCACAAACAAGTACTTTCCTGGCTGAACCATCTTCCAGCCCCACTTTAGATTTCATTATCTCAGAAGTGTGATGAGAATGGACTCACAAACTAACTTTGAGTTTGTCTTTTTCCTCTCAGCATAATGTTCTTAGGAGTCATCAAATTGTAGTATGCACCAATAGTGCATTGCTGACATTTTTCAATAATAGAGCAGGATTCTAAGATAAGATCACATATGTAGTTCCACATGCTACAAGTGAGAGGTTGTTTGAATTGTTTCCAGACTGGCTATTATAAATAAAGATGAGTTCAGTGTGTCTGTACAGATTTTTAAGTGAACATCGTTTTCCAGTTCCTGGGATATGTGCCACAGTGGAATGTTGGGTAGAATAAGAAATACATGTTTAATTTTCCAGGAAATGCAAAAGTACTTTCCTTGGTGCTAAATTGTGTAACTTTTCAATTGGCAGTGTATGAAAACTCAGCTGTCTCCAAATTCTTGCCAGAGTAATTTAGCCATTCTATGAGGAGTACAGCAAACTCATGTCAGTTTCTTTTTTTTAATTTTATAAAAAAATTTAAGTAATAAATTATGTTACAGAAATATACAATATGCTGGGTATGGTGTACACAACTGTAATTGCAGCACTTGAGAGGCTGGGGCTAGCCTGGGCTACAGTGTGAGGTCTTGTCACACCTCCACCCCTCCAAAAACCTCCAAATAAACACCAATTGCTATGAGAAAACTGAACAGACTCAGTTGAAAAATTCTTCTTAGTAAGCAACCACAAGAAAGTGGTTACTCTCAGTTAGGTTCTACTAATTTTTCTTAATTCTCTTTGATTTTTTTTCCCCTGGTCTTCTGTCCCTGTCTCTGCGGGTTGCCTCTTCAACACCTTCATTTTCCTGGTCTGTAGTTTGCTTAGGTCTTGCTTCTGCATATGAATCCTTCCAAAAGTTTTTCCAAAAGTATCCTGGGATATATTCTTTCTCTTCTTTGGCTTGAGAGCTTTGGGCATTTTCATGGACAATTTATAAAGGTCGTCTGATGCTAAGTGTATCCTCCTCAGAACTAGGTCCATTAACGGTCCCATCTCTTCCAGTTCAATTCATGGTGTTCTGCAACCAGATTTCTTCAACAGCAGCTTATAGCTTCGAAAGTAAACCTTCCCGTTCAATGTGGTGAAAGGCAGAACATACTCCAATCCAGCCAGTTGGACATTGGACACTGTGGGGCCTCTGAAGAAATCAATAAGAAGATTTTTTTAATCTTCTATAGTCTTCTGTTACATCAAAATCATCACCAGCGAATATCAACATGGGTTTTGTTCCCTCAGGGCACTTACTAGTCTTAATATCTTTTAGAGACACAAATTTCTCAATACCTAGTTTGATCATACCCAGCACATGGTAGTCATACATATGACCTATTACTAGATTATTCGGCCTCTTATTATGGGAGCCAAACATGAATAAATAACAGTCTGACTTCTTTGAA